TGGGTCACAAGGTGATACTAGGGGAGTGTGTTGTTTCTCAACATAAGCTTTTAGTGGCAGACTTTCATTTTCAGGTGCGTGCCCGTAGGGATAAACAAGCTAAGATTGAAAGAACAAAGTGGTGGAAACTGAAAGGGAAGACGTCAGAGGTATTCAGGGAAAGGGTTATCAAAGAGGGCTCTTGGAAGGAAGAAGAGAACATAAACAACATGTGGAAGAAGATGGCAACCAACATTCGGAAGGTGGCCTCAAAGGTGTGCGGAGTAACCAAAGGAAATGGAGGCGAGGCTAAAGATACTTGGTGGTGGAACGAGAAAGTTCAAAGGGCTATTAAGGAGAAGAAAGAATGCTATAGACGCTTGTACCATGACAGGAGTGTGGACAACATAGAGAAGTACAAGGTGGCAAAGAAGACTGCAAAGCGAGCTGTAAGTGTGGCAAAGGGTAGAGCGTACGAGAATCTTTACCAATATTTGAGTACGAAGGAAGGAGAGAAGGGCATTTATAGGATGGCTAGGGTTCGTGAGAGAAAGAAAAAAGACTTCAACCAAGTTAAGTGCATTAAGGATGAAAGGGAGCATCTCTTAGTGAAGGAGGATGAGATCCGACATCGATAACAAAAGTATTTTGACAAATTGTTCAATGGTGAGAATACAGACACAACCTTTTAGTTGGATGACTCTTTTGATGACACCAATAGGCGCTTTGTGTGGAGAATCCAAGAATCTGAGGTCAGAGAGGCGTTGAAAATGATGAAAGGAGGTAAGACGATGGGACTGGATGGTATCCCAATCGAGGTGTGGAGATGCCTTGGGGACATAGCTATAGTATGGCTAACCAAGCTGTTTAACCATATTTTTTGATCGAACAAGATGCCTGATGAGTGGAGGAGAAGTATATTGGTACCGATCTACAAGAATAAAGGGGATATTCAAAGTTGTACTAATTACCGGGGAATTAAGTTGATGAGCCATACTATAAAGCTATGGGAGAGAGTTATCGAGCATCGCTTGAGAGCAATAACACGGGTCTCTTTGAACCAATTTGATTTTATGCCCGGAAGGTCAACCATGGAAGCCATTTTCTTAATAAGACAAGTTATGGAGCGGTATAGGGAGAAGAAGGACCTACACATAGTTTTTATTGACTTGGAGAAGGCTTATGATAAAATACCAATGAATGTTATGTGGTGGGTTTTGGACAAATATAAAGTACCAATGAAGTACGTCGGGCTCATTAAGGACATGTACAACAATATTGTGACTAGTGTTCGAACAAGAGATAGAGACACGGATGACTTTCCGATTAGGATAGGACTACATCAAGGATCAGCTTTGAACCCTTATCTGTTTGCCTTAGTGATGGATGAGGTCACAAGGGACATACAAGGGGACATCCCTTGGTGTATACTTTTCACGGACGATGTAGTGCTACTTGATGAAAGTCGGACAGGAGTGAATCAGAAACTGGAGTTATGGCGGGAGACTTTGGAGTCCAAAGGTTTTAGACTCAGTAGAACTAAAACTGAGTATATGAGATGTGACTTCGGCACTACTACTCGGGAGGAGGAAGATATTAGTTTAGAAGGTCAAGTAGTGCCTAGGAAGGACACCTTTCGATATTTAGGATCAATGCTACAGAGAGACGGAGATATTGATGAAGATGTTAGCCATAGAATGAAAGTATGGTGGATGAAGTGGCGCCAAGCATCTGGTGTCCTATGTGACAAAAGGGTACCATAGAAGCTAAAAGGCAAGTTTTATAGGACGACGATTAGACCTGCTATGCTGTATGGTGCAGAATGTTGGCCTACGAAAAGACGACATGTTCAACAGATAAGTGTCGCGGAAATACGTATGTTGCGTTGGATTTACGGTCATACAAGAAGGGATCGAGTTTGGAACGATGATATACGTGATAGATTAGGGGTAACACCAATTGAAGAAAAGCTTGTTCAACACCGATTGAGATGGTTTGGACATGTCCAACGGAGACCTCCAGAAGCACCGGTGCATAGTGGAATCCTAAGCTAGGATAGTAACGTGAAGAGAGGCAGAGGAAGACCGAAGTTGACTTGGGTAGAGGCAATAAAAGGAGACTTGAAAGGATGAAATATAACCAAAGACTTAGCCTTAGATAGGAGTGCTTGGAAAACGGCTATTCACGTGTCTGAACTTTGATTGCTTCTGCTGGGTTTCAACTCTAGCCTACCCCAACTTGTTTGGGACTTAAAGGCTTTGTTGTTATTGTTGTAGTATATTAGTCAAAATGTATAATCTTATTTAAAATAATGACTTAAAAATATTATTGTAGAGTATCAATGTAACTTTAAGTGAATTATCATTGTCATTGCTATCTATTATTAAGGGAACATTTCATAAGTTAATAAACTAAATATTTAACTTAATGTATATATTACTTTATGAATATTGGACGACATTTCATAATATATATATTTATTAATTACATGAGCATTTGAGATACATTTTCATTTATTTTTTTTATAATGGCTTGAGGTTGATAATTTACTTTATATTACCTTTCATAATGGCATATACGATAATTTGAATGCAAACTTAGCAGTTATTTTGTATTATCTTTTGTAAAAGTAGATGCTAGTAATATACAAAATATTAGAAGATTATTTCAAATTATTTTTCATAACGACTGAGATGGATAGTTTATGTATAAATTTAGAGGGTTACTTTGAATTGTCATTCATAATTACAGATGTGGTTGATTTAGATGCAGATTTAAAAATTATGTTGAATTATCTTCAACCGAACAATGAAAACAACAGAACAAATTCCAAACAAATGGTTTATTATTTGCATGCGGTAAAAAAAAATTCTCGTTTTTTTAGACTGTCAGACCCCTTTTACCGGCAGTCTAGCGCAAGTGTATCTTTTTTGTTGGTGTTGTTATTAATAGCAAACTTTATTTCTATTTGATTTTTTATCAAAAGATTAACCAATCCCGAACATCATGGGCTGATATCCTATTAATACATATACATATACATATACATATACATATACATATACATATACATATACATATACATATACATATACATATACATATACATATACATATACATATACATATACATATACATATACATATAATTTATTAATGAGTTATATTAACCAACCATTACGTGATCGGTAGTACATATTAGATATTTTATCAATCAAGAGCCGTGGGCGATGATAATTTAGGCTAACCGTTAACGTAAGGACTAATATTTTATAATATATTAACCAACTTTTAACGTGATCACGGTACCTATTATATTAGATATTTTATTAACCAACAGCCGAACAATTTTTTCTGCTGTGCGGCCATATTTTTTTTCGGCAATGATATTTTAGGCTATTTTCTATGAGTCTGTCTCTGTGACAGGTGACTGAAGGTTTGTTTAACCATCAGTCACCAGACGTGGATGATCTTATTAGAAAATTAACCAGCCGCGCCAGCGCGTCCCCGTCCCTGTCGCGGTGGCTAGGATGCCCAGCTCCTAGGCCATCAGCTCCAGCAACCCTGCTCTCTCGCACGCACACCGCCTAGGCGGCGGCGGTGCCTGCAGCAAAGCCGCATGGAGCCCCGCCCTACCTGCTCGGCGACCTCGGCAGTCGGCACCCTACGTGGCGGCGGCAACAGTGTCCTGGCTGGCGGCGGTGCCTGCGGCACAGCCGCATGGAGCCTCGCTCGGCTGGCCATGATCGGCCGCTGAGCCCCTGCGCCACTGCTTTTGGAAAGAGGCAGAGGCATGCTCACCGGCCGGACTTGGACGTCGCCGCGGCTCGCCTCGCTTGGATCTCGGGGTGCTCCGTTCCTCACCTCATAAAAGAAAGGTGGGACAAAGGAAAGTGACGGATTCACGGGTAGGACAACACAGAGACAGAGGAGTACGTATACATGAATCATCCAGAGGGAAAAGTGACGGACAGGACAACACACAGACAGAGAGGAGTATACATGAACCATCCAGATCCCTTCATCTCACATTTGACACCACAGAAGTTGACTGACAAAAAGACAAGCTCTTAGGCTACTGCAAACTAGTAAATCTCATTTTCTATTTGTAACAATGAAGGTGAGTAATTTTTTTTAAAATAAAATAGATCTAATGGTTATGGATATTTAGAGTCTTCTGATAAATGGTGAGATGTTTCTGATTAGTGTGAGAATTTCTAGCATCTATCTTTTTTTCTAGCGCGTCTGTTAGAATTAACGTGGAGTCTCCGTTAGGGCCTCTAATTAGTAATAGTTAGAATTAACGGCATTTTTTGAATGTGTTTGGCTCCATGACCTCTCCTCAAAATACATTACTTAACATCATGAATTTTAGAACCTCTCACCCTCAAATGACCGAACAATATACTCCCTCCGTCCTACAATAGTGGATGTTTTAGGATTATGCACGGCTATCTTTGTTGTAGGTAAAAGACCAATATACCCTCATGATAAGGAGAGAGGTAGATCAAGAGAATTAGAGGCAGAGATGTATTAAAAAAAAGAGAAAGGTGTACTTGAAGAAAAGAAAGGTGTATTGGAAGGAGAGAAGATGAAGTATTTTGGAACAAAATTTAACTATTTTGGGACCGAGTGAGTATTCCGGCGCTAAAGAACTCGTGCAATTCCCAGTCCCAGCATAGCATACCCCACCGAGCTTGAGGAGACCGGAGAGGATCCAGATCTCAGTAGGCCATTGTCTGAAGCAGCACTCAGGACAGCGAGATAAAAGAGAGTGAGGACTGAGGAGACACGGCCTCTCAAGCAGAACTGCAGAGGTGAGAACGGTCAGAGGGACTCCAGCAGACGAGACGAGAGAGTGAGCATGTGACCCTCTCTGTCTGTCTCTCTTCCCTTCTCGTCTTCGGCAAGAAGCCACAGCAACACCAAACATCAGAAGAGAGTGAGCATGTGAGCCTCTCTGTTTCTCTCATTCCCTTCATCACCCTGCTGGTTTCCCTCTTCCACCTCTGGCCTTGGCCATGGCGTCCAGCGCCTCCCGGTTCATCAAGTGCGTCACAGTGGGGGACGGCGCCGTGGGAAAGACCTGCATGCTCATCTGCTACACCAGCAACAAGTTCCCCACTGTAATGCTAAGGCGTCCTCTCTTCTTCCATGTCTATATATGTTCAACATCCACTTATTGTAGTAGAGATTCGGGATCTTCTTGGATTCTTTTGGATTTTTTTGGGATTTTCTTGGGGATTCTCTTGGGAAACTCGTTATGATAACTAGCCTGGAATTATTACAAATTTTGCAACTTCACTTCATTTTCGCTTGTGTTTTACATTTTGCAGGATTACATACCCACTGTCTTCGATAACTTCAGTGCAAACGTGGTAGTCGACGGTACCACGGTGAATTTGGGCCTTTGGGATACTGCAGGTACTTTCAAACTTACTTTTTTTGTTAATGAACTTGAAGAGCTTGTACAGTTTACTTCAATTTAGATTTGCAGTTGGTGATCTTGATAATTTGGACATGAACTGTTTGCAGGGCAGGAAGATTACAACAGATTGAGGCCACTAAGCTACCGTGGAGCAGATGTGTTCGTGCTCGCCTTCTCGCTTGTCAGCCGAGCTAGCTACGAAAATGTTATGAAGAAGGTGCATTTCTCATTTTTGATTAACTGGTTCAAGAATTCAATTGCGGTTTCCGTTTTCAACTAATCTTGTTACGGATGACACAAAATGGCTCATACTTCAGTTTGTTTTACTAATGTCCATGTTTTCCGAGTTTCAGTTTGTTGTACTAATGTCCTTGTTTTTCATTCAGTGGCTACCGGAGCTTCAGCGTTATGCACCGGGTGTCCCCATAGTGTTGGCCGGAACTAAATTGGGTGAGTTGTGTGACAACGATATATTTCTATTTTATATTTGTGTGAAATAATGGGACTACTGAGGTGTACATTCTATCTAGAAGACTACCTTGACAACTTGTTGGTGACCCTAGTGGTGGTTAGGACATATTTGTCATTGCATTGCTGGGATTGTGTTAGCTTTTAGTTTGCCAAGGAACCATTTATAGTTTGGAGGGACTAGATTGTATTAAATTAGTTTTCTCTTTGTATGTTTAATAGATAATACTTTGTGAGCATAGGGGCAGCTGCCCCACCAATTGATATGGCTCAGTCTTAGCCGTTATATCAGCACCGGGTGCCTAAGATAGAGCTACATCACCCTCAGCCCTCCGGTTACATCGCTCAATCTCAGCGCTGAGCCCTCCAGTGCTAATCTGATGGCTGAGGTTGAGCTATGTCCGTGGGTGGGCAGCTGCCCCTATGCTCACTAAATCCACTCTCATGTTTGAATGCTTCAAAGCATTAAGTATAAATGAGGTGCACGCATGGAGCATGGTTAGACAAGTGGTTCATGGTTCACATTGAGCCTTGATTCTATTCTCTAATAGAGTTTTTGAATGCTTAACAAAGCTGTCTATCCTGAATCCATCATTCCGAAGCACAACTAATTTATCTTCAACCACAATTTGTTAAAAAAAGATGTTATTTTGAATGCTTAACAAAGCTGTCTATCCTGAATCCATCATTCCGAAGCACAACTAATTTATCTTCAACCACAATTTATCATTCCGAACCACAACTGAGTTTATGTGATCAACTTAAAACCTTCCTTCTCAATAAGTGATAATGAATTGTATTAGTTGTAGTCTCAGGTTCAATGTTTCCTCACTCAGAGCCTCAGAGGGCAATGTTCAAATAGAAGAAACTGGAGTTGAAAAATAGAAACATTATTCTGCCTCTACGATTTTTTGTATCACCAGGAAATGCCAGGCATCCTTTTCGTCCAATTGAAGTTTATTTGTCATGTTTGCTTGTCTGGTTCTCATTTCTTTATTATGTTGTTAGTGTAGGCTTTCTTATATTTCAACTTGTTCTTAAGAAGTTAGCATCTTACACACAGTTGTATTATTTGCAAAAGAGGATTCTTGATTAAAAGATTGAGTTTTGTTTGAGTGGATTATAACTTTTTGTGAAAGAAGTTAGTATCTTACACAAAGGAATATATTGTGTACAGATCTTCGTGAAGACAAGCACTACTTACTTGACCATCCTGGCGCGGTACCTGTTACTACAGCACAGGTCTTATTCCTTGTTCCCATGCTAACTGCTGAGGACTGGAGAATTGCAGCAGCTGAACTTTGTCATAATTTTAGCAATTTTGAGATACAAATGCCTCTCATCAGTATCTTATAGTTTTGCCCTTTCCTTTCTGCCTCACCTTGCAGGGGGAGGAACTTCGCAAGCACATTGGCGCAACTTGTTACATCGAGTGCAGCTCAAAAACTCAGCAGGTCAGTTGCTCTGGTTCAATTCCTGTGCAACTTTTTTGGGGTCTCTGGAGGCTTAAGTATTTATCCCTGCTGTGCTGTGGTCCATCTGTTAACCCCAGACTATTTTTCTGATATGTACATAGAATGTGAAAGCTGTGTTTGATGCTGCCATCAAGGTAGTAATCAGGCCTCCGACGAAGCAGCGAGAAAGGAAGAAAAAGAAAGCACGGCGAGGATGTTCAATATTGTGAGTAACTTCTTGATATATGTTTTATCTGATATTAGTGTTCTCTCTGAAAATACTTTGCGAAGATAAAGCTTTCTTTGGTTTCCCAGTAGGACTCACTTTGACCTAACAACATGTGAAGCTATGAAGCTTTTATGTTAAGCTGGAATTGGGGCATTAGAATGGTGCCTTGTAGACCACTACTAAAGTTAGGAAGTCCTTTTATGCTCCTCATGTCTATGTACTCATGTTCTTGTCCAAAGGTGAAAAGTTGCTTCAGATAATCAGTAGTACATCAATTTATGATCGCTTGGAAAATCATACTCAAATTCTCTGAACTATGTTCCATCGCAATAACAGTGTACACACCATCTCTTTGGATTTCAGTTTATAGATTGTAAATGTAAACTTTTCTTTTCTTTGTTGCAGTTGCAGCCGTATCATGCACACAAGGAGACTAGGATGCTTCAAGTGAATCGATGATCACGTTTCTAAGATGAATCGAGATCATGTGTAGTTATTTGTCTCCAAGTTTCAAAGTGCTTGTTGCGCTTGCGCACTTGTGCTGGTAATGTGTATATTTAGTCTTTACCAATTGACTTTTAGGAGATATATTAAGTACTTTGTTTATGTACCATTGGCTCATAATGAGCTGGGAAGCAACAATATTTTTTTTCTAGTGATTTTTCTTATAGTTTCTCGTAAAATTATGTTGTCGCCTTTTTCCACGGTACGACTAACCTATCACTGTCAATCTGTTTACACCAAAATTTGGAAGGAGAGTCACAGGGACCTAGAAGCTCCCAGGAACGTATCATCAAGGGATCAGTCGCGGGCGGATCAGAAACAACTGATTCAGATGGAAAATCTAGGAATCGGCTTTCTTCGGACAGTGCTAGCAGATGACGACAGAGGCTACGCTCGACGTCAGGATGAAAACGTGTTGGACTCTAAAAAAGGGAAAAATTAGAGTCCAAGTTATCTTAAATTAGGAATGTTTTCTTTAAAGTCAAACTTTATGATGAGTCGTGCTTAGATGAGAGTCATGCGCAAGTCCCGGGTATAAATATCAAGCCCCGGCTATTGTAAAAAACACAATCAATCAAATACAAGTTAATTATTTTTTTTCGACTCCGGCCACCCCTTAGGAGTAGAAGTAGAGTAGATCTCGGCGAGTTCTTCGGCAAGTACGGCTGCATCGATTCGGTCGATCTCCACTACTTGTTGTAAGTACCGTCATGGTTTATACCTCTGTTCGTATGGCTGCATCGATCCGGTCGACCCTCACTGCGGCTCTGGTATAGGCTAGTTATCGACTCTTGCTTAATTCAAGTATGGCCTGTGTGATTCTGCCTCACACCTCATTGCTTGAATTGGATCAAGGTTAAGTTATCGGCTCTATCTTAGAGTGACAGTCTTTGTTAGATTCATTAAGTTACCGATATTGCTTATTGCTTTCATTGTTTATCTAATTACAGCAATATCACTCTGCCCGATTGAGATTGACCTAGATCGGCCTTATATCTTGTTAACTTCTCGTTTGCTAATCTAAAACTGATCTAATCTACATCTTAAGCGGTGAGTTATGTTTTTATCGGCTGTTTTGCGTCAATCTTAATCGTGCATAGCGTGCGGTTAAGGCATGTTCGATCTTGAGTAGATCTATTGGTTAGCGAGAACCGTTTCATGGCCCGTCATCACGGCATGTGGGATTCTGCCTCTCACCCCACTGTTGGCACCATGGAGTGGGGATCATTGGTTGGTAGACCCGTTCTTTAGAAGATATGACCTTAACTGTGCGCTATGCCTGAATCGGCTGTTTAGCCGATATCAAGCGCTTTCACGAGCAGTTCACATCACGAGACCGTTGAAGTAGAGATAAGTTGAAAGATATGTTAGCCCCATGATCTTATTATTGAATTACGGCCTGCATGATTCTGCCTCATGCCCCACTGATATTAATAATGAGTTAGAGTCATCGAGTCTATTGTTGTTTCTACGTCCTGCATGATTCTGCCTCATTCCCCACTGGTCATGATGATAGATGAGATCTAGCATGTTCATTAGATTTATCTTTATTAAATGGTTAAGTGATGTTGAATTGTTTCTTTATATAAAAAGGAGTTCGGTTACTCATAATCATTGGCTCAGTATGGACCGTTCATCATTGATATCTTATTGCCATTGATTAATATTTGTTTAAATGATATTTATCCTGAATGATAACCGATTCTTCTTATACAACCCCATGAGCTTTAACTGACTCATTCTCATGAATATACCGGAATCGACTATTTAGCTGATTTCCTTTCATATCGGCTCTCATAGTCGTACACTCGGGACTGTCTGGCAACACCGGCAAGTTCCGCCCTTAATTACTGATGAACTTTCTCTTCTTGTCAATTGCAGGGTCAAATTGACTGGCACGCCTCGGGAGGATTGCGCAGGATCGACCATCCCTACGCTGAAGCTAGGCGGATCTGCTCCATCGAGTAGACCCTTCCGGCTTGCTGCGTGTGTCCTCGACACGGGACGAAATTCTGTGTCGACGCACGTTTCTGGCACGCCCGGTGGGACATCACAATCGTCATGGCGGCTCATAACAACAGCGACATCCTTATGCTACATTATGAAGATCTACCTAATGGAGATAAAGAGGTCATCAGTAAAACTATAGAAGAGTTTTAGAACAAATGTTTGTTGTCCTACACTAAAACACGCGACAACACAATTGTTCAGAAATTTTCACTACCAAGGGTTCTGTTACACGGACAGACAAACACGACCGAAGCTGAAGACAAGCGTTTCTTTATAGAGGTTGTAGACAAATCTATTCGAGATGCCATGTCACAACGAAGCTTTCGTGGACGTATTACACAACGCCATGAAAGAGGCGATTCATGGATTTCCAGTTGGTCAGGGTGGACCAGCTTATTACAATATTCCAGATCTGCCTACCCAAGGGACTAATCAAGTCGGTACCAGCCATCAAGAAGCAGTACTAGCTGGTAGTGGTGATGCCCAGACAGTTCAGGGATCACCTAAACAAACTCAAGGAACTGCTGTGAATCAGACACAGTACAATTCTAGACCACCAGTACAGCATGTGCAACAACCGACGGGGCAAAGTCAGAACCAGGTGATCAATTTTGGCACATCAGGCCACATACCATCGTCGGCTCAAAAAATAGCACCGTCAGTTCAAAAGATCCGTAAAGATATAGACCCTTATGTCTATAATCAGAGAGTTCAAGAAGCAAGATAGTAAAGGACCCAGCAGATTGAAATTCCACAATGGTATCATTATGGCACAGATTATAATACCCTCCACATGATACCAAATCCAGGATATCAAGGCACACGGGATTTCAGCCCACAGATGGGTCAGCAGGTACAGAGAACTTCAAATTCAAATGCTGATGAGTTATTGCTAAGGGTGACTGAGATGATGAATAATCAGTTCGGTCTGAAGCCAAAAGGGTTGACCTTTTCGTACAAACACCCATATCCAGAATGATATGATTTGATCGCTCTTCCAACAAATTACAGGCTCCCAGAATTCGCTAAGTTCGTTGGCCAAGACAGCACAAGCACGATAGAACATGTCAGTCGGTATCTTACACAATTAGGCGAAGCATCAGTTGAAGACGCCCATCGAGTTCATTTCTTCTCCTTGTCTCTATCAGGATCAGCCTTCACTTGGTTTTCATCGTTGCCAGTCAACTCTATTGCCAATTGGGCTGACCTGGAGAAGAAGTTTTATACATATTTTTACACTGGGACTGGAGAAAAGAAGATTACCGATCTGACAACCATAAGACAGAGGACTAGCGAATCGGGAATTGAATTTCTTCAGAGGTTTCGAGAAACCAGGAACTTATGCTTCTCCCTAAACTTGGCCGATGACCAACTAGCTGCTTTAGCTGTTCAAGGAATGCTGCCGATGTGGAAAGAAAAATTGCTGGGACAGGAATTTGACAACTTGGGTCAATTGGCTCAACGAGTAGCAGCACTTAATAGCCAATTCCAGAGCATATGCAGAGATACACGATTCCAGAAGAGTACCTCAGTAGCCAAGGCTTACGATCTATATTCAGTCGATGACGGCTATGAAGATGAAGAAGAAGAGGTTGCTGCAGCTGAATGGAATTGGGGCAAGAAGACAGTGATAGTGCCAAATCCTTGGGGAAGAGGAGTTGAGGAGAGTTATGACTTTGATGTTACTAAATCGGACAAGCTCTTCGATTTCTTGCTTGAGAAGAGGCAGATCAAGTTGTCCGATGGTCATGTCATGTTGTCCCCTGATCAGTTGAAGAATAAGAAGTTCTGCAAATTTCATAACGCTACTTCTCATTTCACTAATGAATACAAAATCTTCAGGCAGCATATATAGAGAGCTATCCAGTAAGGGAGGCTCAAATTCGATACACCTCGGAAGATGAAAGTCGATGATAATCCTTTCCTAGGAGATCAGAACATGGTTAATGCTGGGCTGTTTAAAGGAAAAACTAAGGTCCTAACATCGATCAAGTCGAGAGAAGCTAGAACAGTCGATCCCAAGATGCAAATATCGGCTGATGAGTACAGAGAGATTAGAAGACGTCGCACCGAACAAAAGAGGCGATACGAGCAGGGAAAGACGTCGAAAGCAGAGACGTCAAAGCCGCGGGTCACATCTCGGATTCTGTTGAATAAATGGCAGCGACAGAAGGAAAATGATTATCAACGTTGGTTAAAAGATCAAGCATACCAGCATCAATTAGAAGAAGAGAGGTATGAAAGGGAACAAGCTGAATTACATTGGAATTGTCCCTTCTTTAGATATTGCTGGAATGAAGGTTTGAAGTTGCCTACCAGACACGACTATCCAGAATATAGCAATCAATATCGGGAGTATAGGCAATCTCGAACCAACCGCCGGTCTATCCATGCTCAAGATGCATATCATCATAACAACATGGATCGACGGTTAAAAAATAAAAGTGTTCATGATCGGTTGAAAAAAAGAGTCATTGGTCAGGACTGGGCTGATCATGAAGAGGAAGGCACTGAAAGAAGACACACGTGGCAGGAAGGCCAGTGGTGCCCAGGAGATTTGACGAGAAGCCAAAAGAGGAGGGTGCAGCGTCTAAGGAACATAGAGATGGAACAGGCTCAAGCACCCGATAAAACTCAAGTATGACGTACCAAGCAGATAGGCGTGTTTGTTTGCTGAAAAGTACTACTGAAGTAGTGCTGGAGAATGCCCGTGTACCCCTTTAGGCCTTGTTTGGATGCATGTGTATCCAATTCAATCCACATATGTTGAGTGGATTAGAATGAAACTTAATTTAATTTTATTCCAATCCACTTCAACACATGTGGATTCCTTTAGTTTTTTTTTTGCCCAATCCACAATGGCCCTAATCGTTCTATCCATCCATCACAGGCCAAGTGCCGGCCCAGGAAAATTAACTCCCAACGGTCTTCTCAGTTCCCCAGCGGCCCTGCCGGCCGTGGATCATCTCCATACGCGATGCATCATGACAGGGCTCGAGACCTCGTCGCCCAGTTGCCCATGTGTGCGGTGTGCGAGCAGTGAGCAGGCCGTGGCGCCGCCAAGCTAGCTATTTCCGCTCAAGGCGCATGCGTTTGCGTGCAGCAGTGGGAAAACGGCAAGCAAGGAGTACTAGCAGCCAACAGAGCATACTCATGGACCGTTTGGATGGATTATGACTAATAATTAGTCCTGTTAACTCCTATGAGTAGACTAGTGAACTAACAACTAGTCTATGATTAGTAGACTAAGAATTAGTCTGTTTGTTCGATACATAGAAACTAAAAATTAGTCAACTAGTTATTAGTTACGTGAATCAAACAGAACCTCAGTCACGCCGTCAACCCGTAACCACTCACCACGCACAACAGCATGCACCGGCAGTGGCCCAACAAACAGGTTGTTTTGCAGGGTTGCCCAAAATTTCTTGTTTCTTGTTGAATTTTATAGTAAAACAACTAGCAAGCTACAAACAGGCAGTTTTACATAGTTCGGCAGAGCTCCTGCTGACACTTTTTTTTTTAAAAGGGTAGTTTTACATGGTTCTGCTGAATTTTATAGCCTTGTATGTGTATATGTTCAGGTTCACACGCTATTGTTGATGAAGATACGAGACAATGATGGATTGAATCATCATTAGTTAGGTTTTGTTTACAATTTTTATGTTTTTATTATCAAGTTTCCTATCGATTTTAAGTGTGGAATTGTATCTCAAATTATACATTCTATGTGCTATATTTTATCGTATGCATGTGACCTGATGCGGGTAAGTTTACGAACTTAGATACTGAGCATATGTGTAAAAATTGATGACTGTCACTGGGTATCACCTCCTCGTTGACCCAACACTACGCACAATTTCCCGGACACATCGAGCATGCCATCGAGTTCACACACCAATTCTGTGCCAAAAAAGCTACCCTCTTATATACTGCTCCACAAGCAATTGGGACATCGTGGTTATGTTCCAGAATCTGACTTGCCCAGACGCTGATTTTTTAATGTAGAAACAACCCAATCAGGAGCCACCTCTATGGTGGCGGCCTCAGGCCCCAATAAGCCAATTGTCTTTATAAATGCATCTACCAGCCACCCCTGAAGATGCATAGAGCCGGTTCTAACTTCTAATAGAGCTGCATCTACTAATGCTCCAGATATATATATCAGCCTCTTTCTTTCTCCTCGAGACATTTATTGCAACTTGAGAAGGAAGGAAGGGAGTATTGGGCTACCTCCTAAAAATTACAAACCTAAGGAGAGAAGGTTTTGATTTTGATTCCTTCGGTGGAGGAGATTCTAGAAGGTAAGTAAATGTTATTACAAATTTCTTTTTGAAGTTTGAGTGATAGATTAGTGCTTAATTAGGGTTTTGATTTTCTCTCTCTGGCGTGGTGGTTGAGACATTTATAGAATGAAATTAGATCAAATCTTTGAAGGTACTAGAGTAAATTTAGTAGGACAAAAAGATTTTACCCTTATTTAGTGGCCATGTCCTAATTTAATGGTTTAGTTAGTCTTTAAGTAGGGATTAGCTTTGGATCTAGATCTAGATCTAGGTCTAGAATTGAGATTAGGATTATTTTTATTATCAACATTCATATTATTTTGTTTAAAAAACATGATTAAGTTTGCATCAACAATAATGGGTGAAATATTAATTGGTGTAGATTAATTCTATAAAAAATGTTTATTATAATTAAGAAATGAAAACTAATTAATTGTTTCATTAGGGGCTAATCAAATATACAAATGTAGTAGGTATGTATGTCTTTTGGACAATGAATTATTTTTAAAAGTATGAATGGTCTTCCACAATTATATTGTTACACACTAATATTCTTCCTAGTTATTGTTACTTATATCAATTAATCTTTTTTCTTCTTTGATCAACGTTGAAAAAAGATGGAGTACATGAACTCATGGATGTATGGTTCATTAAGGTTGAAGCTAGGTTTCTGCGCTAAAGTGGGTAGATTTATTGAAGTAGCAGAAAAGCATTTAATGACCTAGAGTGGAACCGATATTCGTTGCCATGTTGCGATTGGAAGAACCTTCTCGCATGGAAAGATGTGTCTGCCATTAGATCACACTTGCTCATGCGAGGTTTTATGAAGGACTGCACAATTTGAATCCATCACAGCAAAACTGTTGTTAACGCTGAGCTGAAAGAAGAACATATGGATTACATGGACACATGTATAGCTGAACTTTATGTTGAAAGGGTTGCCACAAAAAAGGTGGGCGTAGGTATGGAGAATGCATCAGCGATCAAGATGACGGCAGTGGTGGAAATGATAGTGGATGTGTTAGGGACCAGTGATTATTTGGAGGAAATGCTTCGGAACATTGGACAAGGGGTGCTACTCAGGAGCGCGAAAGGTCGATAAAATTTGAAAAGGGTATAAGGGTAGGTTGGGAGACTTTATATGGTGCTGAGAAGGGTTGTTCGACAAACTGGACGGTGCTACATTTTGTGCTTGAGCTGTATAGGTAACATGACGTCTAAGAGGGGGGAGGGAGAGGGGGAGGGGTGAACTAGGATTTCTAAAAACTAATGGCCTCTAATTCTACTTATGAAAACCTATGCAAGATTTCTACTAAATGTGCATCTAGGTTTTTCTAAGAGTATTGCTATCTCTACCGCTAAAGAGTTATACAACTAAGGTTTCAATCCTGTCAACTACTCTCTCAATTCCAAATTATAAATCGCTTAGCTTTTCTAGATACATAACTTTTGCTATGCACTTAGATATACACTATGTCTAGATACATAGTAAAAGCAATATATCTAGAAAAGTCAAAACATCTTATAATTTATAACGAATGTAGTAGCTAGCAAGCTAAACTAGTAAAGTAAGCACACAACCTATGAAAAGCATGTAAAGTGCAGAAGCTTACATGGGGTATAGATGATGTAAACTTCTGTTAATGATGGTATCAAGAAGCTCATGTTCCCCTTAGTCCTTATTGGAGCCTCTCGCAAGGGCCAAGCTCCCGATCAGGTAACTCTGTGAAGCCCGCAGGCCTTCCCCACATGCAAGTTGGTATGATCTCGCTAGACTACAAGCCCCTAGTGTACAATTGTGGTGCGTGCAAGCACCGAGTGATAAGAGATATGCATACCTCACTAAATACTAAGTCTAAGCCTAGAGCAAAGTACTACTATGCGGGTCTAACTAGTCTAAGCACTTCGTAAAGCATTACGCTAATCACCTAATATTTCTTTAAGCATTTTTGTTGGATAGAGCAGTTGGAATGGTGCCTCAATTCCTATCACACTCTAACACCCTCCAAAATAGCTGACCAGGGGGTATATATATAGCCCATACCCCAAATATAGTTGTTGTGGCTTGCTGCAGCTTTCTGCAGAGCACCGGATAAATTCGGTGCACTTCACGGAAGAACTCTGGTGATGCCACGTCAGCTTCGGTGCCCTCACTAAGGCCTTGTTTAGTTCTTCCCTAAAAGTTTACATCCTATTACATCGAATGTTTAGACACATGCATGGAGTATTAAATATAGACTAAAAAAATAACTAATTGCACAGATTACGACTACTTTGCGAGACGAATCTTTTAAGCCTAATTAGTCCATGATTTGACAACGTGGTGCTACAGTAACACATGTGCTAATGACGGGTTAGTTAGGCTTAATAAATTCGTCTCACGATTTACTGACGGATTCTATAATTTATTTTTTTATTAGTATCTAAACACCCCATACGACACTTCTATATAACCTCCGACGTAACATCAAAACTTTACGCCTGGATTTAAACAAGGCCTAAAGGATTCCGGTACCTACCAAACCCGTCTATAGATTGTCTGGACACTGCTTTCTTCGGTGCCTATCAGCATAACCACCGGACCTTCTGCAGAACATATTTGCTCAAGTGCTATGTCAAGCCTTTTCTCCGGTGCTTGATAGCACTGCACCATCGGAGATTTCCAGTGGGTTTGACCCTAAACTTTGGTGCCGTGCCAAGACCCCATTGGAAAAATCCGGTGCTCTATGTGCAGCATTGTTGAGTGCAATTTCTTCGTGTTTTCTGGTCTAGGTTTTTTTCTAGCAAGTATTTTATGATCTTAGCAACTCCTTGGTTTCCTCGTTGAGGTGTTGATCACTTGATTTTCATGTTGCCCTAAGTCCAATCTGTCATTGCATCCAAATGAACTAAATACGTTGTATACCAAATGAACTAAATACCTTGTATACCAGCAAACATATTGGTCTATTTGATCATGTCTTCAATCAACCACAAAACCGTATATCAAAATAAACTAAATACCTTGTATGCTAGCAAATACATTCATCCATTTGATCATATTGTCAATCAACCACAAAACCACATATATGACCCAGGCTAAATATCATTTTATTACCGTTGCTAAAACGGATCCAATTTTAATTTGCATATTTTGTAACAGCTGGCAACATGCCTGCATGCCCTTAATAATTACACATAGCATTACTACTCCTGCTACGTAGCATTACTCCTCCTGCGCAGCTTGATGCGTATCCAAATCATTCAGCAGATCTGCATGCAGCGAAACCTTTTGCTTTTCCATCTGCATGATGCCCAGCCTTTTGCTCCCTTCCGTTTTACTGTACGTGCCATCAATGGCCGACGCTCCTCCTGCGTGCACTCTGCACTGCCACCGCCATGACCACGTCAAAATGCCCGTCCATATAAATGTGCACGCTGCATCACCGGTTCACCGGCCGCCTAAAGTTGCATATATATATGACCTGACCACCTCATATCTGGTCCTCTCTACATAGAAATTAAACCACACAGAGCTCGAGTATCCGACGACATGGAGATGGAGGTGAGTCCAAACACGGATCATATGAAGCTAGCATCGTTTCTTTCTACCTGACTTCTCTATCTGTCTAACCGTGGGTATATATTTTACTGCTGTATGTGCCTACTAGAAGATGATGGGGTGGCAGATCCCGGCGTTTGGGATGTGGAACTACTGCAATAATGATCTCTCCATCACGCAGTACTTCGACTCAGCCATGCAGGCCAGGCTGATGAAGCGCTGCTGGAACCGCCGCGGCAGCGCCGCCGTCGTGGTTGGCGAGAAAGCAGGCGTCGCCTGCGGGGAACAACAGCTTGTCTTGTTCAGGACCCCTTCTTTTCAACGCAAGCCTGCAGCCCAGATCAAGGTATATATATGCTTGCACTGTCATTTTCCTAGATCGGAGTTGATTGATTAAATTCGGCGTCGTATATTAATTGGATAAATGCATGTTAGGTGATAAGGAGGGAAGTGGAGGAGCACTGTGACGGCAACGAGTTGCAGGACGGCGGCGGCGTGCAAGCTGACGAAGTTGTTGCATACCCAATGAAGCGTAAGGTTATTATTAGCAAAGCTGTGGATGAGGACCTGTACAAAGTGCCCCAACCCCAACCACCGATGTACCAAAAACCTAGAAAGGTAAGGTTAAAAAAACCTAGAAAGGTATAAATATACTACCTGTCTCTTGAAAGTTACTTTGTAGCATGAGCACATTGCTTCATCACCTGTCTAATACTCCATCCGTTCTAAATTATAAGTTGCTTTAATTTTTTTTATACCTATTTTATTATGGTTTTAGATATGATAATATGTCTAGATACATAACAAAATGAATGAAACAAAAACGCCAAAGCGACTTATAATTTAGAACGGAGGGAGTATAAAAATAAGTTAGAAAATATGTAGTCTCTTGAACATTTGTTTTCGTGAAAAGGTTCTTTTTGTAGTTCTGTCCCATCCCCTGCTGCAATTCATTTTAATTTATTACTTACACACTGGGAGTCATCCACTTTCATTGTTCAACTAAAAAATATTGCTAAAACTCAACTTTTTTCTCACAAAATTGTTGTCGTACTTTCAGATGAGAAAGGTGGTTTGGAGCATGTGGATTGGGTGCCTGGGTTTGGACTGCATTGCCTGACAAACAAACAGGGTTGTAATTTACATATTTCTGTATGCAGTCCACACATTTTTTTTATCAACCCTGTAGGGTTTGAATGCTTTTCTGTCTCTACTATTCTATTTATTGTATTTATTTTGCTTGAATCATTTAATTTTCCTAGTATCAAGATATATTTTTTCTTTGTAATAACTTGCTACATTTTAGGTTATGGAATAGAAATATCCTAACCTCCACATCAAGTGGTCCTTCCACTACCGGAAACCAGAATATCCCTCATGATGGCGAATTCTTTTGATGCGGTAATTTAAAAAATCAACGGGAAATTTGGTAATTTCCTATCTATTGTTGCCAAACACACGGGGTAGTTATGAAATACACACATAAATTATTGGTCTATGAGTTATAGAAGAATCAACAGAAAATTGTGAACCATCAAGAGTCTCGGTAGAGAGGTGCAAAATGACAGGCCCAAGATTAAGGCACGCTACCATATATAAAATGGATAAAACCCTAACCGTGAGGTCCCTAGCTCCCCTCTCTCCCTCACTTGGCCGCCGTTCCCTCCTTCCCCCTCTTTCCTAGCTCAACCACCGCTCCCTCTCAAGAAGGGAGGGGAATGCGAATAGAGAGCGGACCGGCCAGGATCAAGCCCAGATAGAGGGAGCTATGGCCTATGGGCTGAATAGGAAAAGGGAGAAAAAGATAAAGGAAGAGAAGGTTTAGTGGGCTAAGAAGGATGGGGATGGCCTTGGGCCTAAAGTATAGAAGGGGGAGTTTTCTTAAAAGAAACTTTTCATTTTCTAACTTATTTTGAAACACAAATTTAAATTGTTTTTATGCAAACAAGTTTTAAAACTCATTTAAACCATTTGAGTTTTTAAAAAACTTCGCACTTTTGAATATGACTTTTTATTATTAGAGTTGAACTAGGTTTTTAAAATGAAACTTAATATATTATTTTAGAAATACAATAAAACCTTTCTGCAGCCTGACTGAGACTTTAATAAATCATTTTCACACAATAAAGTTAATACAAGCATGCAATTGAAACATATTTTCCCTATGCAACAAAAAATTTATACCCTATCCCTATGCCATAGGATTAATTTATAACATATTTTCCTCCTCCTGCCACACATTTAGTCATATATCTAAATTAGTTCTTAGAAAATTAAAAAAAGTTCAAAATTAGGGTATGAAAAACTGGCATGAGGACGTTGAGATTTGGGAACGGGCTAGGTGCATCTTATAATGCAAGCCAGACAATAATGTGCCATGAAAACATTCAAAAAAATTATCATATACAATAGGTTGTATAGAATTGCACTTAAAACGGAAAACCACTAATCCAAAATAAAAATATTTGATAAAAATTCTAGAGCACATGCTGAATTGTAGGCTACTACTCATCGAGGGGTAGGAAGATTTCATCCTAGGGGTTGTGGTTGGGAGTGGAGGCAAAGGTGGGGTTCGGCGAGGTGGTCTTATGTGGTAGAAGGTTGTCGAAGACGGTGGCGTGACCTCGCGGAATGTAGGTAGCGCTGTGGAGGGTTGATTCTGGCCAATGGCTAACCTCATAGTGACATTCACATGTCACATGTTGGTGGTCGGCAATGCGGCATTCAATACGGATGTCGTAGGCGCATAGGAAAAACGAGGACGGAAGAGAAAGAGGGTAGAGAGGAGTCAGTCATTTTTTACGAATTACACGGTATAATGCAGATGCTCACAATGTACGTATATTTACCCCTATGAACACACTTTGAGGGAGATGAGATTTTTAAGAGATAAAAAAATAGAGAAATGAGATAAAAAAAGAATACGTTGAATCTCTTTTGTTTCTCACTAATCCACTTTATGACCGTTTTTATGGGAAATGGGATTCATTTGTTCGTTGTGATTGAGATGCTCATTTGTGCGTTCTGATTGAGGCCCCGTTTAGTTCCACGCCAAAAACCAAATATTTTCAAGATTCTCCGTCACATCAAATCTTGCGACATATGCATAAAGTATTAAATGTAGACGAAAAAAAACTAATTACACAGTTAGCCGAGAAATCGTGAGACGAATCTTTTAAATCTAAATAGTCTATAATTAGATAATTTTTACCAAATAAAAATAAAATGCTACAGTAGTTCAAAGCCAAAAATTTTTGGAACTAAATGGGCCCTGAGACGCCCTTATCTGCCTGCGAGACGTCCTTGTCTCTCTCGCCATCACGTGCCACCGATGTGGCTGACAGTTTTGTACAGCGGTTTCATTTATGAGGAGGGGCCCCTCTGTCTGCCGTCTGCGCGCGTGGCCGCGACGGACGGGCCAGGGCCAGGACACGGGCACAAAACTTGTGGCTGCCGCACGCGCGGTGAAACCCGCGAGAATCTCTCGTTAATTCCGCTTCGTTTGCATTGCATGCTAACAGATAAGTTATGAATCAATGGCCGGAACTTACAAGCTTCCATGTCCAAACTTATCAAAACCCCGTAAATTTCTACTGCAATATGCGTATAAAATTAAAAACAAAATTTATGGAAGTGCTTTTCCAAAATGGATGTTCATAGACTTTTCTATTATCCAGTGCAGATGATACCACTGGCTAATCTTGTGGTATATGAAGCGAACGACGGCAGTGTCCGATACCAACTCACTAGGGTTTTTCATCATCTTCTTTGCAGCCTTAAGCGTTGATATTTCACAATGGTCAAGGTGTCGTGCTCGTTACATTTAGAGTCTAATAATCTTCAAGTACCTCGTAGCTTGTGTTTAGTGTGTGTTCGACAAGTCAAATTTTGTTACATTTAACTGAATTTTTAAAAAAAAAAGTACTATCAAAATCTATGTTTGTAATAGTTTTTTCATGAAAATAATTATCATAAATATACTCCATAACTAATACAATAGTTGTGACACTGTGAATACAAATCTATTGAAACAAATTTTATACCATAACCTTGGATATAATTTGATTAATTGTTGATTAAAAATTATAATTTTTTATTTTTTCTCTAGCTAAATACGTCTATCATTCCAGTACGTAGAGTGTATATGGCTTCTTGGTTTGGCTTTGGCAGGTAAACCCATATTTGAAATACAACAAAGCATTTGCAGAACGCAGCTCACAAAAATATCTCCTTGTACTACTTGGTTGAGAATATACTTTCTTTTGTTGAGTGGAGGTTGAGAATACTTGTACAGATTCCGTACAAGCACGGTGTACCTATGGCCCAAAGCTGCGAGTGGGTTCAAAAGAGGCCATGGTGCAAGGCCCGTTCTTGGAATTTTGCGCTTTAATTTACCTCTGGCATGTGAAGTTGGTACTTGTAGCTGCGCGCACTTTTGAGTGCGTACAATACTACATATTATTGCTTGCTTCATACTCCTGTAGACTGAATTACTATGTCCTCTTGAGTCAAGATGGCATAGTAATAGTAATTCAGTCTTTGCTTGCTTCAGTGTACATCTAATGACTAGTGATAAAAAATACGGAAATACTACGACACGGTCCGTTCGGACGCGGCTTCCCACTCCGCCTCATCCGCTCTCTCAAGAAAAAAAAAATCTCCCTGCTCCGTCTCGCCCTCCCCATCTCTTGGTCTCTCTCGCGTCCGCTGGCAGCAACAGAGCCCTGCGCTGCCATTGTTGCCTCCTTCCTCCACCCAAGCCAACCACGCTACCTCCTCCCTCGGTTCGCGCAGCGCCTCCCTGGCTTCTTCCCTAACCTAGCGCCGTCAGGATGCCTCGCCGCTGCCGGCGGCCGTCGCCGCCCCTGCCGATGGCGGCTGGGCGCACGTGCCGGGGCACCTCAGATCATCCCCGGTTGAGCCAAGGGGCACCCACGAGCGCGGTCAGTGATGATGGTGCTCACGTGCTGCCGCATACCGTCGGCTCCCACCCTGACGGCCGGAATCGACCGGCCTCGGTCTTTCCCCCCTATGATGCAAACGTATGTTTCAATTATTTCAGATGTTTCAGAGGTATCGTCGGGTTCATAAACCCGGGGTCCCTCATGGACCTGCTTTCCAGCAAAAGCTCGGCCCAGCAGACGACGTTGCAAACAACGCGCAACTCCTGAGCCGGCCCAAATACCTAACAACAGGCCAGAAGGGCGACCCGATCTCTGAACAGAAGGCCTGGCCAAAGAGGAACGACGCCCGCTTCCGACTCCGGCCCGCCTCTCCCACCGGAAGGCCTGGCCAGGAGGAATGGCGCTCGCTTCTGACTCCGGCCCACCTCTCCGACCAGAAGGCCTTGCTTCGGGCTCCGGCCCGCCTCTCCGATCGGAAGGCCTGGCCAAACGCCGCTTCCGACTCTGATCCGCGTCTCCGACCGAGGACGCACCGAACCTCTGCTTACAACACTTCTCCGACTGGCGCAGTCGAAGCCGACTGGGACCAACTGACTGGGGACGCCCGCTCGGTGAGGACCCTGGAAACAGATGGAACAAGTAAAGCAGGGCGCTCAAGTCAACCGCGAAACCAAGGACCGTACCCTATACACCTGCAGGACAGTACCGACAGGACATGTCAGAAGGGTGCCCTGCAACCTTCCAGGCATGTTAGAACCCAAGCAGTGTTGTGGGCGCCGACGTTTGCCCTACAGTGTTGTGGGCACCATCAATTCCCATACCAGGCGAACACAGTAAAACCCCCCACAGGCCTCTGGGCATTCAACAGTATGGTAGGCGCCGACATCTGCCATGCCAGAGGAAGACGACGGAACCTCCCACATGCATCTGACATTAACAGTGTTGTGTGCGCCTACAATCATCTTGTACCCAATGGCATGGGCAACAAGACTTAGTAACATACATAAACTCTCCCCTCTCACTTGTAAGGCCGTCCCCTTCATCTATAAAAGAGGACGCGCTCTCTCCCAATGAGGGGGATCCATTCACGATTAAAACACAACTCCAGGAACTTTCCGACAATACGAACAACCAATGATCGATTCACCCTCTTCTAGCTTTAGACACTCTAAAGCTACATAGAGCACTCGCTCGAATACTTAGCGCACGTAGGAGC